ATACATATTATACATATATACATATGTAGGAGTGTCAGCGGAGTGTTTAGGAATTATTTAAGGGATGGGATAAGAGTTTAAGACATTGAATCACTTTTATGGAAGGTACCCAGAGGTGGACTTTATCTTTTTTAGGGCCATCGGCACTAAAAATTCGCCACCTCCATAATTGGTGAACAAGTTAGCCTCCAAGTAACCCATTCCAAAATACTCTAAATATTGACAAACAATAGTACCTACCTAAATATATTTGAATTTGTAGAAGAGTAGAAAATGTCAGTGGATGTCAACCAAATGTTAATGAAAACCTACTATGATAATTGATAATTTTTGTGAATTATGAACCATCATTAATACAATATTGGAAGATATTATACAGACCGGACAATTAATGAAAAATAATATAATATTTATTACCAGCTCAAGTTTTTGATTAGTAAATGTTAACTATCGTACAAGGTGGTTCATAAGATGACAGAAATACCCCTAAAATTGTCAAATTAGTAATAAAGTGTTGTATAGTATTTTTAACCTGACTCGTGGCTAACTATACCAGCGCAATATTCTAAGTGTTAAATGTAGTATTATCAAAAACTGTTTTCCTTACAATAATGTACAATACACAACTTGTGGATTATTTTTACGAATTTATTATTTCTATAAATTATAATGAATCAAAATAGATATACCATATTCATATACATTAAAATAATATAGATAGGAATCACATATAATATGATATGATATATAATGTTATATAACTGTTATATAGGCCATGGGGTGGGATGAACAAAATTAGTTTACATAAATAAGAGGTTGCAGTAGATGCTTTAATTAAAATTATAATTAATAAAGATCGATTTTAATCAACTGTCCAGCTATATAATGATTTTGGTGTTTTAAATAGAAATAGAAATGAATTTGGAATGGTTATAAAATATAGGTAAATTATGAAAAATAATTCATGAAAGATTATTATAAAGAAACATATACAATATAATATTTAACAAACTCGCATCTACCATTGTTTTAGACTTCGAAACAATAAGTATTATGTGGGTTAAACATAAAGAACCATATCATATTATTTTAATTTAATTTAATTCGGATATGTCCACTGAGCCCATGAAAAATTACTATCGAGGAACACAGTTTAAGAAGTGAAACAGCTGCTGTATTGTGTGCCTACACGAAATTCTACATATTGAATACCAACTCACACAGTAATCATTATTTTTGAGTAGATTTCATTGATAATTTTTATTAGATCTAAAATAGTAAAAAATTATTATAAAAAATCAACTTCGCTTTTTATGGTGCATTGGTGCTGGCAGTCCATCAAAAACTTCACCAATATGTATACCTAATTATATCTCTTATTATTTTTTAAACAAATAGCTACTAACAACCACTAGCCAGTACACCTTAAATTCAAAAACCTAACTATGCCAGTTTAGTACTAAGTTTAAAATAAATAAAGTAACATTTATACATAAATGTGTATAAATATATAATCAATTAATTACAATCAATTATGTAATACAATTCGATAATAAAATAAATTGTGATTTTGGTTTTTTTTCCAATAATATCTGGTTTTTATATTACAAATTTGTTATTTTCGATTGTACAGACTGCTGGTTGCGGAGTTTCAGTGGCACCGGTGCTATAATAGTGAGATTGAGGTACCTACATTTTTATTATTTATATCTATATATCTATCTACTATATCTATGTCTATATCTATTCTATATCTATATCTATGTCTATATCTATTCTATATCTATATCTATATCTAGATCTAAATCTATATCTATAGACTATATTTATATCTATATAGTACATCTATACTTACTACTATATAATATGAAGTCGCTTTCTTTTGTTCGGGATAAACTCCCAAACTACTTATTCAATCGTCGTGCAGTTTTTTTAAAATTAAAGAGGACATCACTGAGAAAGTTTTAGGCATAAATTTAGTCCGATAAAGTTAATAAATAATTAGTTATTATTAATTAAAATAAACGTGTACTTAAATTGTATACCTATAACTTTTCAGTGCCGGATTTAACCATTGTGCCGCTTTAAGCACTAAATAATTTGCCGCCTTTTAATATAAATATTTTTCTAGTCTAAAAATGTTATTAGAGCATACAATTATAGTTTTTTATTTTTTACTTAAAATTTTAATGATGAATAATAAAAACATACAACTCTACGATTATGAAATTGGAAAACATAAAATATAAATATTACCACAATCCCGTTAATCTAAAAACATTTTATAATTAGTTTCATTTTATTTTAGTTCTAGTTAGGTACCTACATATTATAGTAAAAATGTAATATTAAAAATTATTTGCCGCCCTTTAGAAATTGCCACCCTAAGCACTAGCTTATATTGTTTACTGGGAAATACGGCACTGAACCTTTTTAGTAAGAAATAGTCGCTGGCTCAAAATAAATAACAATCAAACTCGACAACCACAGATGCTTCTAGGCAGGTCGGTATCGACGTGGAATAATAAACAATTAATAAAATTATTTAGTTAAGCAAAAAAAAACATGATTAATTTTATCTGAATATCCAAGCGAATGTGATATATTAGTTATTGGTAAAAAATAACAAGTAACTAATAACTAATCCAATAATCACACATTTCCTATAAAGATCGCTGAGTTGTATTTATAGCCGCTCATCGGCGTATCCACAGTCAAAATAAAAAATAAAATAAAAATAAAAAATATTATTCATATAGAGTATACACCTAGCGTGAGGTACGATAATAATAATATAATATAATATCTTACCTGATTATATACTGAAATAGTATAATATACTAAATAGATACAGTAGGTTTAAAAGAAAAAACATTGTATACTATTGACGATAGCCAATGAGGGTAAATAATAATAATAATGATAATAATACAAAAAAACCTAGCGATGGGGCCTGGATGCTCGTAAACGTAGAGGTTCACATCACATAATATGTATGTAATAAAAATAAAAATGTAAGTATGAACCAGATTTATACATTACCACAAATAAAGAAAAAAATTTACAAATCAACGTCATCCATCATTTGATGTTTTATTTGTCGGTGGACCTTACTCCACGTTTGTGTGTTTACATAATATAAAATAAAATTTGTGAGACAACTTGTGGTCGGTCGCTGAAGACATCCGACCATAGCAAATAATTACCCATAGACTTTATACTCGTTGACGGAGCATAAAAAAAGGTTCCGCTGTGATCGTGTTGTTCCACACTTTTGGAGATATGAGTAAACCACATCAGCTTGTGCATAGTTTACAACAAAAACAGCATAAATACGTAATTATCGTATTAATACATCATTCAAGAATATCTCTTTCAAGTTTCCAAAGAATTAAACGAATTATGAATAACCTTGGATTAAGTATTACTATACTAACTCGTCTGGTTTTTGATTTTCTTTACATTTTCGTTAGGTACCTACGTATGTTGACTTGTTATGATAAATGATAATACCTACGTCAATGCAACGCGATTCGGCGTGGTCACCGGTGCACCTAACACCGCCGGCAAGGCATGCTCCGTCTATGAGTAATATATTAGTAATATTCAATTATTTATTCAATCCAAGAATTAATTTTATTCCGTATCCGGCCTATCTGGGAGATCCCGTATTAGGTATTATTTTAAAACTTAATAAGAAGGTATTAATAGAATAACTTAATTACCAATAGCTAATAATAGTGATACTCTGATAATATTGTACTATACTATCTGTACTATGGTCGAAATTTATACCATTCAAGTTATTCAACTATTGTGTTCGGTGTTCAGTTTGCTCAGATTTGTTCAGTTGTCACTCGTCAGTGTTTGTCTAATTGTTGTCATATGTTTAATATTTATATTTTATACTAATATACTTATAGTTTTAACGTGCATACGTTTTCTTTATATTAGTTTAACCCATTTAATAAAATAAATATAATTATACAATACCTACTTAAAACTCAGAATAAGGGAATTATATCCCCAAAAAAAGGTCATAGTCATATACTTTTAAATTGCGGCCTGTGGACTTTTAAAACAGGTATCTAAATGCTTTTAAATTTTAAATAACGATAAACGCAAAAGTAGAACAACGTTTAAATTTTGAATAACGATAAACTCAAAATCTGTATAACGTTTTGATTGTAAATAACGCAAAACAAAATTTTTTTTTTAAAATGCAAGCCCTGATTACATATTATATATATTGTAGGTACCTATACTAATATAATGTTTTTGTAATCATCTATATACACGTCAGCAGCCGCCGAAAACGAGGAGTAACGATGATTGCCAACCGACGGCGACCAATCAAAACGCACCTGGCATTAAACTGAGGCTCCACTGTCCAGTCAGTTCCAGCAGCTATTCAGTAGTCAGTACCTACCCGTTCACGAGACTCAGCGCACTTAAATAATATTATATACTTACACTAGACTCCGAGATACGTATTATTTATTTATTATTGAAGTTTTATGAGTCTTAGCTTTTAGTGATTAGTAGCGATTTTATTCATATAAAGAACTGGTAACAATTTAAAAAATATTAGTCTAAATTTTTAAAATAAGTTATCTTTGACTTAATGTTAAATAATTTTCAGAGGTTACCTATAGAAAATCAAAGTGTGATCGTCTTAGTCAAGGTGCTCAAAGAGATCAATCGCTTTTAGTTAAGACAACTTGGTATACACATAGGTAAGTATTTACCTTAGTTAAACATTTTTAATTTATTTGTATAAAGGGTTAATATAAAATAATTATATTTTCTAAATTACTAAGCATATTTAAATATGAATTAAAGTATTAATTTATGGGAAAACGGACATTTTGGTAATGACTAATGACCTATGAACCTCCTATAATTATGGACTATGATCTTGGTGAAACTTGGGAGTATTTAAATTTATATAAAATGTTCAGATAATAATAATTTTATATTATAGTATTTATTTAATAATTATGACAGTGAGAGATCCTGGAGCACATTTAGCTTAGCAACCTATTCCAACAACTGCAAAAACCACTTTCCAGATTTACTCCACCAACTATGATGCCTTTAAGAGATTTTTCGATTACTCAAGGAGATAATATTACTGACAAGAGAGCACTATCTGAACATGATGAGTACAAGTTGCAGATTCAAAGAAACCAACTAACTAATTTTTTTATTGTACATAAAAATGAGGAATGGTAATTATATAAATATACTATACTTAGAGCAATATTGCAAAATACACTTTTTAAAAGTATTCAAGCACATAAACAAATATTTATTTTGAATAATATTTGAATACTCAGTTAAAAAAAGTATTTGAGTACAAAAAAAGATGTTTTCAGGTACATTTTTTTTACTTACTAAATCAACTGAACTCATTTTCAGCGTTTTACAGTGTATCTTAAATATTTGGAGTAACTAAAAAATACCCATCTGGTTTTTTGTCAAAATATTATAATTTTCGTTTGAGTATATTAACAATAAAAAAATATTTTATTATAAATTCTAAATTTTTTTATTTTTTTTATTTTACATGATAAAAATTAATTTTAAAATAGAATATATTATATATATATATACTAAAAAAATTAAGAATTTAAGTTAATCATAAATACTTTGAAAATTTATTTAAAACAGTTAAGTACAGTAGAAACTCGATTAACCGTCAGTGTTCGGACTGGGACAATGACGGTTAACAGAAATCATAGATATATAAAACATATATATATATATATATATATCTATGACAGAAATACAATAATACAAAACAATTTTTCAATAAACCATATATTTTACAATGTAATTTTCAGACAAAAATAATAAATATAATAATAATAATAAATAATAATGAATAATAAATACAAATAATATATAATACATATTATGTGATAACATAAGAATATACCATTCTATAAAATATTTAACAAAATAATCCGTCATCTTCTGTTTTTTTGATTCACGAGCTTTTTGAGCGGCCATGTTTCATATTTTACGAAGAAGTAAGACCTGCTTTGCATTTTCCTCCTCTTGTACCTTAAACCAATCAATGCATTTTGATAACATTGCTTCTACTTCTGCGTGGCTAGTTCATGGTTTTAAGTCAAGCACTGAATCAACTTCTTCGTCAACGGTAGTGAAATTAAAAATAATTTGATCATCATTTAATTACCACTATTTTTATACGTATGATAGTCGTCGCGTTAGGTACCGCGACGATTTTATCGCTATCGCATTACACATAAACTTTTTTTTCGACGGATAACAGAAACTGACGGTAAATCGAGTGACGGTTAATCGAGTTTCTACTGTATTTGAGTATATAAAAAATATTTGAATACTTTTACTCATGTGTTTGACAAGACTCCCTTGTTGTTAATATATTCATATAATAAGTGTCGTAACATTTTAATTGCATAAGGTTCAAGAATAAATACCATCCTGATGATATTATAATACAAAAGAAAAATCGAGCCATAGCACTTCAAGTAAGCATTTATTTATATTTTTTATTCTAATACTTTTAACTACATTTTATTTTCTTATTTTCAGAAACGGTTAGAAGTTTTTAAAGAATTTTTTGCAAATGGTAAAATTGATTCCGTTAGTGTGGATGCTGAGAATCCAGACCCTCTAATTCGTCTACTTGATTCAGTTGTAATAAAACTTGAAGGAGGCACAGATTTTGATTTAACAGTGTTAGGTCCTACTGAGACATCAAAACTCCGAAATAAACACGAACATGGAAAAAATGAAACCAATAAAAAAACCAAGTATGAACTAGCATTTATTCATTTTACATTAATGTAAAATACAATTTTAATATTTTAACCTTTATGTTATACATAGTTTAATTGATGGTGAAAATTCTGATGGCATAGTGGATATTGACAAAAAAGATGGCAATGAAAGAAATAAAATAGACAAATTTGAAGTCAATAAAGCCGAAGGTAATTTATTAAATTTCGCTAAACTATGTTTATAACACTATCAATATTTTTTTCAAAATAGCAAAAGTGGGAATTAACTTGTCAAAAAGTTTAAGTTAAGTTACTAAGTTAATTTTTTTTAAGCTTGCTAACTTAACCGTCTACTTAGTTAATTATTTTTGTTTTCAACTTATTATCTTTAGTTATTCAGTAAAAATTGTTATTATTGTTGAAACTTAACTTTTAGATAGTTAATTATCATTATCTTGCAGTTAAGTTGATTTTCTTTTCATATTATATGTGAAACCAACAGACATACTAATTTTTTGACTCTTTTTGCATTTTGGTAATTTATTTTCATCATAATAATCTAATGTTTGCACAGTGTTATAGAACGTCTTTAAAAATGTTTGTGCAAATCAAAATACTTGACAAAATACTATGACTTATACAAATTGTAGCTTGAAAAAAATTTAACATTTTTAAACTGTTTAAACTGATTTAAGTTTATTTTATTTTTTATCTTAACATTAATTTTATCTTGTTACATTTTTCCTTTGTTAAATTTTGACTTTTGAGTTTAGGTAATTTAATTGGATTAACTTAACTTTCTCATAGTCGATTATTTTTATTAACTTGCTGAAAATAGTTTCAGCATTTATTTATGTTGAGTTAAATGTATTTATTCACTTTAGTTTTAATTCTCTACGAAAAAATAATTGTTTGTATTTAATTAATATGTTTATAGAAGCAATGGATATAGATATTGTTCAAAGACAAGAAATCAACAACAAAACAAATAATAAGAACCAAAATGTATAAATTATATAAACAAATATTTAATTGCGTGTAGAATAAATATTAATGTTATAATATTTTATGTATATTACAGCATATTGTAAAACCAAGAGCATTGCATCGCACAACTTCAATATATTTACGTAATATACCGTATACAGCAATCAAAAGTGATATAGAAGCAGTAAGTGAATTTTTATGTATAAACAAATAAATTGCCAGTGATCTGATGATTTTTGTAACAAAAGCTGTACAGTAATAACGGTTTTTATTTTTTTTTTGTCATAAATTAAAGTAATTGTACCTATTTTTTTTTAGATTTGTAAGGTTTATACTGGATTTAAAAGAATATTTATAGGTGATCCTAAACCAAAGTATCTTTGGACTAGACAAGCTTGGGTAACATATGATGGAGATGTGAAGATGAATGACATTTTTTGGAAATTATATGTTGAAGTTAGTACATTTTACCTAATTGAAATTATAAATTATATTTAAACTTTAAATTGCTTTGACTTAAAATGCATTGTGGCATAATTGAACAGTTTGTACATTTGATATTGAATAAGACTACAAATTACAATAAACTAGTATCTTAGTGGTAAGCAGTTGATGGCTTGTATATTCAGAGCCAATACTTTGAAAATTTTCAATTGGATGCTATTCATTTTTTTCATACCCCTACCTTAAATCTCAGTTTTGTAATAGTAACCTAGTTGAATTGAATTTATAGTTGCATAGCAGTAATATGGATGTTTTTTATGGTAACAATGACCCAAATCACCGCATACGGCCTGTGAATGGAATAAGAGATCATTTTCAAATTGCTTGTAATGATATGAAACTTTGCGTCAGTATCATAAACTACTTTGATAACCGTGCAAGTTTATGGAAGTCAATTGATGGAGAGCAATCAGCCTTGGAAAATACTTATGGTGTTATATCACCTAATCCTGTATTACAAAACATCAACGATTTCGTAATTGACAAAGCATCGTCTGAAGACGAAGAGCTTTCAGGCGAATGCGTTTCTTTTGAACCAGAAGTGTATGCTGAAAAACATATTCAGCTGTTAAAGGTATAATAATATAATTGATTAAATTTAAAATATTTATATTGAATCATAGTACGTTATCTGATATTTCACATTAGGGAGGAAAATCTTCAAATCATAAATATGTTTTGGTTTTTTTTTTATTGGGGGGAGTGGCAAGGGACATTGCAGAACTTAGCATGAGAGCATGTGACCTAATTTTTACAAACTACAAACTTCTTCATATTATTTCATAATAATATATAATGTCTTTGTAGACATTTGTCAACATGCCTAACTTTAAATTGATATCAATAATATAACAAAAACCATGGTAAATTGTATAATAGTTAAGTTTCACTAAAGTCAATCAGGAAACAAAAAATGTTGTAGCCAGCCTAAAAACATATTTTTGAGAATGGATATTCAATGGGTATTCAATTGGTATTATATTATGTACAATAAACTTGGTATTTTATAATTTTAATTTTAATATTTAGGCTTTGGATAGAATGTTACTTTATTTACGCATTGTACATTCAGTTGACTTTTACGACTATAAAGAATATACAAATGAAGATTACATGCCGAGCAAATGCCAAACTATGCATGCTCGTAATGCACCAACTCGTTTTCTGGTATGTACCTACTACCTACCTATTTAATGTATTAATATTAATAGTGCTAAATACAAATTGATTTCAGCCTACACAGCAAGAATTAACTGATTTTTGTCGTTTTTCTCAAGCAAAAGCTAATTTGTTGATTGCCTCAACTTATGATGCGAGTGAAAAGGAATTACTTCGGCTTGGAGGTAAAAACGAAGAAGAAGAAATTGAAAAGTTTATAACTTCTAATACACAAGAACTATTAAATAACAATTGGCTATGCAATTTGTCGGGAAAAATATTCAAAAGTCCCAAATGTGTGTGTGATCACATTATAAATAACTACTCTCATCTACTGGACGATGTGAAAACAAATGTAAATTTAAATTTAGCTGTACATGTTTTATGAATTACAATTTTAAAATATGTTTTTATCTTTATCAAGGTGAAATATTTCAACAATTATCTTCGTGACCTAAATAGACTACAGCATTGAATTCGGTCATATCTAGACATCCAGTTGTAAAACCTTAAACAATATAAGAAACAATAGACGTAACTGTGCATGTTTAAATTGTGGTGCTCTTATTGGTAAATTTCATATTTTTATATATTTATGCCTCTTATTATAAAGTAATTTACCCTATTACATTGTATAATTAAAAATTATGCTACATAATGCATATTTAATACAATAAATTATGTATATTTAGTGCCCACTACCTACCTAGGTAGTTATTTTATATTTTTATAATTGTTTTTCTATAGTATAAGAAAAAATTTAACGCATCTTATAATTACATAATCGTCGCAAATAAACAGTTTTATAATTATATACGATTTTCTCATGTTCAATTATATTATACATTATATTATATGTAGTCACTTACGGGCCATATGGCTATATGACCCTATAGGTCACCAACAGAGGCGGAACTAAGATTTTTTACGTCCGGGAAAATATTAGAATTACGTCCAATCATAGACCAAGACTAAAAATATATCATTCCCTACAATTGTTTTCTAATAACTGGAACTAAAAGTACAAACATACAACATACTTATTGACTTTTAAATACACAGTAATACATAAAACTAACAAAGTTAAAAATATCAAGCTAGTTATTTTTACTCATGGAATCTTATATTACAATAATTAAACTACATAAGAGTTATTCGAGTTTATTATGTTATCGTCGACGTTTACGGAGCAGTTAAAATGTACGCTAAAATATAGTATCAAGTATCAATTCGCTGTGACTAGTGAATTTTTAACCATGATTATTAATGCACTAAGGTAAAATGTCCCCAGAAAATATTTACTAAAGAGTAAAATTCTCGATTTAATCGAATTTGAAAAAATAAATATTTAAATAAATTTAATAACTATCCTATTGTATTCAAAAACTTATTATTCTTATTTCTTTTCTGGACTCGTCGAATGCACCTACTTTATTTTTGTCTATAAGATTTATAAATAATCTTACCAGGAATAAATTGTCTAATGTTACACCCCAAAAAAATTATTATTTTTAAAAGGATGCATTATAAGCTAAAAAACAAAAAGTAAATGAATAACTCTGCTAATAGTTAGAACTTAACAGTTTCCATTACTTTTAGTTTTATCGGTTGCTCAGAAAAAAAATGTTGTAAATTCTTCCGTAGTAACCTGTGTTTAGGTTATGATTAAAAAATAGAATTACCTGTAGTTTTTTTTATGGTCTTATTATTTTATTATTATCGTACACAGTTGTTATTAGTATATTAATTAATCATTGAGCATTTTTCAATACTTTTTAGTCTTATCGGTTATGTTTTCGGCATAACCCGTTTTTTTGGAAAACTTATTTTTTCAGTAAAATGTTGTTTATTATTCTATTATTTATCTAAATTTAAAATATTACTCGTATAACTGTCATTTTTTGTGTGTAAACTTTTTTTTAGTGACTGGATTGAAATATCAAAAAATAAATAACTATATGTTAATGTAAAAATATACATGTAATATTTGTTTTGTGAATTTAATATTATGTATAATATATATTAATAAATAGTATACAAATCCAGGACAATCTCCCCGCTGCCTTCAAAGGCCATATTTATTGGACATTGGATGTTTCCCCAACAAAGTGGACAAAAAATTAAAAGTAAAAATATTAAGCAATATAATATACAATGCAAATCAATAAATTTACGAATATAATATAATACAATAATACGTTTTAATAAAACTGTTGCCAATAAAAAATTAACTAATGTAAATATTAAAAATGTTAAACAATATACAAATTACAAAACAAAATTAAAATTTAACGTCCTATAACTCTCGGGTTTATAGCTATATAGTTTTGAATATATAGTTAAATTATTCTTACAAGTTTTAATTCACAGTTATATAGTAATTAATTTTATTTGGTACATATTGGTTAGGTTAGGTTATTATGTATATTTTTTCTTATTTTTTAAATGAAAACAATACAAGGAATTTACATCATAATAATTCGTATAGGTACATTATGTGGGTTGTAGATTCGTCTTCGTATATGGAAACAACTTATATTATTATAAGATAGATTTCCGGAGGATCTGATTATGTATTAATTAAATAGACTTTAAATCACTTAACTAAATACTTTTATTGAATACGAATTCACAAGAGTCTTATGTATAGAATGAAATACGATTGCCGGTGACGCTCATTCGGTATTTCGTTATTTCGTCGACGGGCATGGCGTATAAATGCTTATTGTGCTTAATAGTTAATACTAATAAATTATAAATAGAGGTTCGTGACAATATTGATCATTGCTACAGGCACAAAATATTTGTACCTACATTTTATTATTGTATATCATAATCATTCAAATACAAAATATTAATAACAAGTAGAAAGATGAGTAGGTAACGAAAAACAACCGTGTTTCGGTGGAAGACGACGCGTGACGTCAACAAGTAGACGGCCGACGACGTAATCGCGTGAACAATAATTTTGTGCCCATTCCCATTTCCCGGGCAACGAGAGTCAAATACTGCGAGTCACTCTAAATGGCAAGTGTTTTAATAATTTACGCCTTACGGTTAGGTTACTTCCGCTCACTATTTCAAGGCCACCCACCCTCTAGCTTCGTGCCTGCACGTCGAGCTCGGTAAAAACTAAAAAGTAAGCTTCTGCCACTGTGGCGCTCCCAGTGGAATGTATTCAAATTAAAATCCCCCGTCTAAATGATCTCTCGTTTTTTGTGGAGTGGTCGTCGGCGGGGACGTATCTACATTGTGGACGAAGGTGACGTTGGGACAAATGTGTGATGCTCACGTTAACGAATTTTTTTGCCAACAAGCCGTGATAAGCATTAACAATGTTAAACTCCCTCCTTTTGTCTAAGTTGTTGACTGTTGTTTGTCGAACATTCGTCACTTAAGGTTCGAGCAAATATACTTGTCTATTGTTTGAGCGTAGTCGCCGGCAACACGAAAACGAAAGCGCAATCAAATAACGTTAAAAAAACTGTGGTCTGTGAAACAATCTGCTTGTTCTTATTGAATAGAGTGGACAGTGTTGTAGCTGTAGCTAGTACCACTACTATAGCTGTTGTGACTACTGTAGTGACGACCGTAAAAGCGTGCTCTGGAAAGTTAAATGTTTTAATCGACCTCGATTGTTATTCTGTTGTCTTGACACTGACTCATTAAGTTCCATTAAAAGCGGTAAGTTGTTTACAATATTATCGTTTTTTTTTAACTACCTACGCGTCTATCAAAATCTGAATTTATAGTTTTAGTAGTGAACAGAAACATTTATAGGTACCTACTTTCGTAGTATAGGTACGTCTTAATTTCATTGGCCTACAGGTATTCTCAGATAATTTGAATAAATTACAGACTTATTGATCAACCATTAGGTACCGACGATCGAGTACAAAATCTTAATGGATTAACATATTTTTCAGTGTAAGGTTATGATGTGTATGAATAAAATGTAAAATAAATAGGTTAGTTTTAATGTCCTATTATTTTCAGTTGTTTTTCGTATAATAATCTTTAAAAGTGATATACGTAATAGAAAAATTTTATATTCTTGATGTACTCTTATATTATGTATTGATTTTATATCTATAATATTAAATATAAGCTACCTATAGATAGTTATAATATATTACACATATATATTACCACACTTTTTACACTGAATACGTTGATAGTGTAATAGTATGGTTAAAGTGCTAGTGAGGTAATTAACAAATATCTTTTGTAAAGTCGGATGTATCAAACCAATTTAAATTATTTTTCATTTATTGATAAAAAAATCATTGAGCACAGTAGAAACCGTTTATAATGACATTCAAAGAACCAAAGAAAATAGGTTATAAGCTGTTGTTATTATAACAAAAATGCCAAAAAAAAATTGTAACTTCAATACATATTATTATTATTATTTATTTATTCGTGTAATGTGTAGTACAGAAAAAAGTGAAGATAAAAACATTTTATTATGTACATCATATTTAAATAAATTAAATAAATTAGGATTTTAGATTGAACTTTGTTTGAATACAAATCAAGCTTTATTTTTTTTCTAGTTCTTCAAAATTTATCTTTGAACTTCCGTTATTCAGATCCATACAAATTTTGCATTTTTTTCCTATACAACCAAAAATAAACATAACATCCGTATAGTCATTGTATAGTAATAATAAGCGATTCAAATTAGTACATACAATGTAGAAGTTTTGCCGGGATTTTTAATCTAAGGTCATAACACCCAATATGCCACTACAGCCGGTGTCATTATAAATGGTTTCAACTATATTTTTTATTTATATTATTACTATATCAGTATATAAATTATAGAGTGATTCACTAACACCATGCATGCTCACCAATTTCTTCAAGTCTTCAGTTATTCAAAATCTAATTTTTTCAATTTTTAAATGTGTTTACCTACTCGAAGACCATATTTTAAAATTCATAAAATATTTCCTAGAACTTAAGGAGTGTCCTGCGGGTATGCAAACTTCTGTTTTTCAAATGAGAACAACCCTCCTTTTATACTATAAATTATTTACCTAGTAAACAATTTTTCTGAAAATAATGATGAATCGAAATTCAAACAAGCAGTTTTGCAGTTATTTAACTTAGTTTACTGAGGATATGTCCATGATAATTTAGTTTGGAAGCTATTGGGGCTATGGTGATTTAAATATGTGATAACTCATATTAATCCATCAACATTGTAAAACCAATACATTAATCTTTCTGCTCAGAAATTAAAATAATCAATGTTCAATGATACTCTATTTTACTGGATTTCATAAGATTTAATAACATTTTTGTTTCAATTACCTAAATCATTAATAAAAACAAACAATAGTAGTTTCTCCTTAATATAATTAGTATTTGTGTAAAATGAAATAACCTTTTAAAATTATACTGCAATGTACTTATAATATTTTATTATTATTCAATGTAGAATTGAATCTAACATGTATGTATGTATGTTCATTGTTCATTCATTATAAAATCCCAGAATTAACCTTTGGTTTTAATCAAATCATTTTATTTGCAAATGCTTGTAATTATATTGTTTGAATGCTATTTAAAATCATTTATAACATATTCCGACATAGTTGCTTAATTGTTAATGTTTTGTATAATACGCATATTATGATTGGAATTGGTAGAATAACTCAGTGCTGACAATTTAAATACTGTGGACGGTTGATAATTTGCTTAATGAACAATATTAATAATAATATCATTTATAATTTCTTAATAAAAAAGGTAGGTACATGTATACATTTCATATTTATAATACGGCAATATCACTATATTTTATAGTACCTAGTATACTACTGTATAGTATTACATCTGTAGTTGAGTAGATTGTCATGTGGTGTGTAGATGTACCTTATCAGCAGCATTACATTACCCCTACTTTGAGTCAAAGCTGACATATGCTCTCTTTTCTAACTAACATTCTGATTCTATCAATTGCCTCTGTTCTAGTTATGAAATCTGTGAATCTTAATTCCCAGAGACTATATAGGTATACTGTAATAAAAAAGTGATGAAAAATGTTGGTCAATTTGGGTATCTGTATAGCTGAATATGATTTTGCTTTTTATTTTTTATTTTTACCTATTTTAAAGTGTAATTCATCATAGGTATTATTATTATTATCGGTTGTTAGTCAATAATTTATTAAATAAATTCCTTTAAATTACAATTATTCTTTTTAAGAGCATGTAAAAAATAACTGAAAATATTATTTATAATGTGGAAATAATCAGAAATATATTCGAATATAAGATTATAATAATTATTAAAATAAAACATTTATTCCACTTAATGTTTTTGGTCACAATTAAAATTGTTTCGACTTATTAATAATACATAGTTCAAATTATGTTTATAAGTACTAATTCCTTTTAGTATTCTTGCATTCATATTTAATGTTTTCAAAAATATCATGACCTAACAGTTGTTTTCAAAGTTATTAAAGATAAATTAATAACTTTTGTATATAAGTATGTACCATAAATATGGTAGCTTATTATTTTTATATGATACTATTTGACACAATTATTTATTTATTTATTACATTAATAAATATTAAGTCACAATTACACAATTTTTTTTTTACAATGAAAAAATTAGAATTTATTTACTAAACAAAATATTTTATTTAATCAACTGTTATGTACATAAACTTATAGAAATTATGTACCTATATTGGGTGATAATTATTGGAAACAAAATATCTCTCGTTTTGAAAATTGGGTTAGTGAATGTTGAGTTTTAAATTGAGGTGGAAATAACCATTATTTTACCTGTAATGATTGTTTGATTGTTGATATAAAGATATTTATTTATTGTTCGTAGTTACTGTGTATAGTTATTATTTTATTAAGATTTTATAGTGTTTTTACTCAAAGTACATTCATATTATCAAGTATTAACAAATATCATCACATGAGAATTTAACATGGATCCATACTAGTCAATATTAAAAAATAGCTACCAAAATAAAGGTTACCAATTACTATTAAAGTTATAGCGATGTATTAAAATAGAATATACAGATTGAGTTTTTCTAACTTGTTTTTATTTTTATTTTTTTATTAATATTAAATTTTATTATTTTGTTTAGAGACTATGGCTATCAATAACCCATATGTGGATACTGTCTACAGACAAGTAGTTACTGAGCATTTTCAATCAAATCAATGGAAGGAAATTTTGATTAATCCTGAAGGTGCTTCAACTACTCTGGGCAATGAAAGTACACTACCTCAATCAGGTGGATACTGTTTTAAAGACATTCCTAACCATTTTATATTTTGGCGGGTCTTGTATGATAAACTTGAGTTAGTTGAACATAGTTTGGACACTAATCTTTCTGAAAACCAGGTGAGGATACACTTTCGAGATTCGCCTATATTGGAATGTGGAATCTCTGTATACGAGACATCGGAATCTGTTGTTTTCTTAGTGCCAACAGGATGTAGTTGTCATCGATTGACATTTCCACGACCAAGTCATGTGAAAATTGATGATGATAATGAAAATGAAAAAGTATTATTGGGTTTATCAATTTTTTCAAATTTTAATGTATTATCTATTGACGATCCAGCAACATTTTTTTCCTATAACGCAGTACTTAGTCATCCATATTCAGCTGCTTCTTGTTTAGATCAAAAACATGATGCTATATTTATTATAGCTTTAGAAAAAAACATCATGCTTTATATACGTATGGAGTATATTTCTGGACTACCCACCTTCAAAGAAATTTGTCAAGAATCTGGAGTACCTCGAATGCTTTCGAGTATAAGCAAAGTTTTTTCTTCACATACTGAGAATCCTGTTATTAATAGTTTAGCTGTCCACCCATTTCTACAAGACATATATGTATACTCTCTTGATGATACATGTGAATTAAAAGTTTGGTCAATCGATAAAACAGTTTATATTTATATAATTGATATGAAAAAAATGTATGTATCTTCAACAGAGATGAACAGTTTAAGACCTCATATTCTTCATAAATCTTTCAATGATCAACTGTTTCTTACTATTTACCTTAATTTATCAGAAAGTTCAATATTTGTGGTTCTTGAACCATGCATTGACCATGGTATGTTTAAACTTCAGCAAAAGTTTTATGTACGCTCACCTGTGAACGATAGACTAGTTGATATGTCATTGTATGGTAATGAAATTTGGTGTGTTTGGAGAACTGGAAAAGACACTGCTTGCATTAAATCTGTAAATATAAGGAATGGTGTTTGGAAAGATTGTTCTTTAGATACTGCTGCTTTTGAACAACCTATTGAAATCTCTTTTAACTCAAAACAAGCTTATTTGGATAAGATATTTTCGTCTTCTACTTATTTTACAGAGGATGATTTGAAAAATGCTATTGCCGTTTATGATACACCTATTGGTTGTGAATTTGTCACTGATTACCGTACCAAGATAAGTAATGTAATTGATATAAAAGTTGCTCAGGAAATGCATAAATATAACCCTTCAGATATTGAGTCACAAATGCAACTTATTGAACAGTGCAGTGCCAGTTTTTATAAAAGCTGTTTAGATTACCGTTGTAAGAGATTGGCTCCTCTTGGCCTTTTATGGTTGGGATCACCATCATTTTTACTAGTTGTTGTAACAAATTCAAGTTTTTGCTTTTTACGGCCATCGGATAAAGTTGAAAACAAGATATTTTCATTTAAAAATCCTAATAATGATAATAAATTAAATAATTTACTCAAAATACTGATGTCAGAACCAATAAATAAATTCAGTTTATTTTTAGACATAAAAGCTTTTCCTGACGAATTTTTAGAATTGATTAGAGATTCTTATAAGTTTGATAGTAGTGATCCAATCATATCATTATATTTAAATGGATGTAATGTTCTTGATACTGTTCGTGTATTAATTAAAATGCTACATGCTGATTTGATGCCAGATGAAAATATGCAAGATATTCAAAGTATTCAAGATATTCAAAGTATTCAAGATATGCAAAATACACAATATTCAAGATGTTTCAGGAGTAGATTAGGTACCAGTGTTGTTTCTCATAGTTTCTATCAAATAATGATTACACGTTTTGACTTATGTTGTAGATTGCTTACATTCATTGAGTTGAATTCTAAAAATTATGGACAAAATAAAAAGTATGTTGATGACGCTTGTAATCTTGCTTATAGTTATTGGATCCTGGCTTTATTTGCAAATAATATTAAGTTATTTGAAAAAATTGTCTCTACTAATATATTATTAGTCAGAGAACCGTTTATGTGTTATGTTGATGGATTGTTAAACTATATTTGGCCACTTATTGATGGTTCTACTCTCGTAGAATTCTTATTACAAGAGGGAAAATACAGTTTTATACAAAAAATGGCTCAATTACTAGACTATAAGAATTGGGAAGAAAAATTAATTACTTCATATATGTTAATTAATGATCCTGATAATGCACTTAAGTTACTTAAAAGTGATTTAAAAAAAAGTACAGACAAATTTGTTACAGCAATCACTTTGTTTGAAAAATACGGTTACTATAATCAAGCAGTTAACCTTGGAAATTATGTACTAAAACTATGTACCCATAATGGAGATAATATCACGACATCAATGTTACATTCTAGCATTTTTCTCAATAATTTAAAATTGAAAGAATACGCAAGCGCTTACAATAACATTTTATGTTTAAAGGATCGAGAACGAAAATTGAATTGTTTGCATACATTTGTTCTAACGTTATTAGAAAATGATGAAAAAAAACAACTGTTAAGTTATAATTTTTTTGGCTTACAAAGCTCAGTAGAAGAAATACTACTAAAAAAAGCACGATCTTTGTCAAATGTTGATGCCTGTCCTTTTTACATGTTTTTATGTTCAATTCATGATAAATATGCCAAGTACAAAAAACTATCCATGACATTTTATGAATTATATTTACGGTCTGACTCATGTGTTGAACAAGAACAATATTTGAGACTATCACTTTTATACTTAGAATGTTTAAATCCTAATGATGCTTGGTTTGTAACAGTTTCATTACCTTTTATCCCAGAGACTGATATTGATAATTATCATAATGGTTTAATGGAAATTGAGCATCTAAGAAAATTATGTTTTTTGACTCGAGCTCGTCTGGAAATTGATGAATCTACAACTGATATGAACATACAGAGCGTGATATCTTTATTGTTGATGAAACATAAGTTTAAAGTAGCAATGCGTTTATCTAAAATGTGGAATTTATCTTTTTATCAGCCATTAAGAGAGTTAGTGAAAACATGTTTGTCCCTCACGGATTCTGAACAATGTGATAAAGCATGGGTTTGGTTAGCTGACAATGGAGTCAATAGCGATGGCAATGATTGCAAGAAAATAGCTTGGCGTTTTTTGGAGACATTGGTAAACATGTACGAAGAAAAAGGAAGAACATTGGTGCACTATCAAGTAGCTGATGAGTTACTAAGCCATCAAACATATTTACCGAGTTGGATTCTCAGAACATTCAAAAAAAGAAATGTTAGTGAATTGCTAAGATTATACTTGAGTTATGGGGAACTGATGAATTGCGCATATTTAATATTAGACATTTTTGATGAAGAAATGTATAGTGATGATACTGTAGGTACATTTGGTAAGACAATACCTGTTGATGTAATAGAATGTGTGATTGTAAATTTAAAACATAATAAATTACAGATTGGTGAAGAGGTTCTTAATAAATATAAAATATTTTGTGATAAAATTGGTACACAAAAAAATTTAATTAATTAAATTATTAAATTAAGTATTTTTTGTTACTTTTATAAATATTGTATAGTTAAAGTTACTTATGTTTTTTTTAAGTACAATTCTAATTTAATTTTTAACAATTTACTTCCTACTTATATGAAATATGTAAATTGTAAGACAGTTTTGAAATAAAATCAAATAATATATCTTTATTTGTTTAGTGCATTTGTAATTATGTCTATTCATATAAATTAGAAATATTTTAGTAATTTTAATTTACAGATTGGAATGTTGGACAGTTGACAATAAAACAGAATAGAGTGTATGTAAAGCAGAGATGAGGTACATTGTCAAACAGGCAAACTCATGATACAGCATACATTAAGTGCAGAATAATCAATTTTACTCAGTTATTTTAATATTTGAGTAAAATGGCCTATTTTCAAATGTAAAGGTTTCTACCCACACAAGATCTGCTTAAAGGTAGAAGGTATTGATTGTTTTAAATAATAAAAAGGTATTATTTTCTAGGGTTGCGCGTAGGTTTGTTTTGATGTTTCAATTTTTAAACAAGTTTTGAGTATGTTTTATTGATTGTAATCCTTCAACAATGAGACACTACATTATAAGGATTCGGTGGTCTTGTGTTCAATTTTTAAATTATACATAATAATTTTATTGTATATATACTTGTTCAAATAAAAACTGTCTTATTACATAATTATATATGAATAGGTACCAAATATTATTGAGAAAAAAACTGTGGTTCAGCTGACCCCCAACCTAGCCCTTAGTTTGACCGTAGTCCACATTATTATCTTATTATTTTTTACAAATTATACATAGGTTCTTACTAGTTAACTTTAAATTCATTGTATTACTAGGTGGATAGTAAAAAGTTTTCATTGAATAAAAACATAACATAATATAGGTATTAGGTACGTATCTCGTACACAGGTACTATTGTTAACATAGATTTGAACAAAATGTTTGGCATTTATAGTGTTCACTAATCAGAATTCAGACAACAACAAAACACCGAACAGTAACTTAAAATTTAGATTGCCTATATCTCAGATGAAATAGAATTTTCAATGTATTTAACATTTTGTTATTCCAAAAGACACTAGAAGCGAGGTTTATATCATTTAGGCATATGACAGCTATTTTTATACATAGGTACTTAACTAGCAAATTTTACTCCTGAAATCTGTTGTAAAAATCACTTTGTAAAATATATTTTGATAAATATATTCAGAACTTTAAAAGAAATTTAAATACTTTATGAATTCATGTTTTTCCTTATTTATTTTTTGTACTTTTCTGATAGTTCTAAAATGTACTGGATATTTTTTTTACCCCTTTCTCTCCTCAGTACTAATTAGATCAAATCTCCTACCAAAAATCTGCACCCTAGAATTTGATGATCAAAAGTATCTTTATAACATAAAAATGTGCACTGACAAAAACGAAAAAAAAAAAAAAATAATAATAATAATAATCATTGGAAATCCGATACTTTCATCTTTCCACTCAATAATAGTACCGGGCCCAACTATAAAAATTAAAATAATTAACAGCATAATAATTTTTTAATGAGGCACTCCAAATTTTATAAAATAAACATTTTTTAAAAAGGTTTATATTGGTGCTTTAAGAAAATAGTTGTTATTATGTATACAGTTGTACAAATAGCGATCTCTGTATAATATTCTATTTTATAGATCATAGGTGAGTACATACAGCTATTATGAATTTATGCTCAGGTACACGATGAGACTTATTTGTTATATTTTGTTATTTATAGGTACACATAGTGATAGGTACAAATGTTCAACTGAAGTTGTTAACAGATTTGTATTTTACAATGGAAAGTCTTTTGATTAGGTACCTATCTTGATACTATGGCTAATCATAATTTTATTTCTTGTACAAATGAATACACTCGTATTACTAAAAACAAAAATTCATGTATAGACCATATTTTTACCAAAAATAGTACTAGTGATAATATTCAAGTATTTATTCCAAAATGTAAAATCACAGATCATTTTAGAACAATAATTCTATTAATAATACCAAAGAACGTCATATTTTGCAAAATAAAATAATAAGTAAAATTTATATAGAACTGCTAATTACGTTTATACGTTTATTAATACACGAAATTGGAATGATATAATTGGTGCAAATAATATAGACAAGTTTTTTCATAATTTCTTAGATAAAATGGAAGAAATTATTAATAAGTCTTCTTTTAATCAAATATTTGAAATATCAAAAAAAAATTAAAAATTTAAAGACTGGATTACTAAGGGACTAGTTATCTCTACAAATTATGTGCATACATTATCTAAGCAATTATATAAATACCCATTTGATATAAATTTAAAACATAAATATGAAAAATATACTAATATTCTAAACACTTAATCAAAAGTAGAATAAAAATATTTTTTCAGGATCTTCTACTAAAATTCCAACATAATCTTAAAAAAATGTGGAAAACATTAAATCATACAGCAGGTAGAACAAGTATGTATAAGGTGGAAATAAATAATATTAATCAAAATGATAACAAAATCACTAATGATTAAATCAATATCGCAACTGAATGTAATACTTTCTTTGCTGCTATGGGCTAAAACATTGAGGATAATATAATGAAAAATGGCTATGAATTTGAGGACTGGACAAATTGAAATAAACATTGTTTTGTTAATAATTCTATGTTTTCAACCCCAATAACACAAAGTTAAATCATAAATTACATTCTTAAAATTAAAGTTTATTCTTATTATGAAAATGGTATCTCTAATTACAACAGCAGGTCATAACATTTCTTTACCATTAATGTTATTATTTGATTTGTCTTTGAAAAGTGGAAAATATCAATCAAGTTTTAAAAAATGTATTGTTATCCCTCTATATAAGTCAGGAGCAATTTAGATTGCTGCAATTATAGACCTATCTCATCCTTAAGTGTTTCTAAAATATTTGAAAAATTTACTAAATCTAGAATTATGAATTTCCTTAATGACAACTCTTTTTTCTACGAATCAATTTGGTTTTCTTCAAGATCGATCTATTAATGATGCACATTTTTTTGTAAATAAATACATTCATGAGACTTTAGATATTAGTAATAAAGTTATGGGCAATTTTCCTTGATGTCAGAAAAGCCTTTGACAGTATTGATCATGAGTTACTACTAAAAAAATTAGATTTTGCAGGAATACGTAGGAAAGAAAATGATTTTCTTTGATCTTACTTCACTATTAGGTTACAAATTGCCAAAATTAATAATACATTTAGTGCCCATTTAAAAATAAATCATGGTGTTCCACAAGATACCGTTCTCGGACCAGTCTTTTTTATTATTCATATAAATGGTTTGCTGAATATAAATGCAACCAAAAAATCTAAAAAATATATAAACACTGTTTTTTTTATAGTTATTTTAGTTTAAATTTGGACGAAATTAGGTACATATTAAAACCAAGAATAACGATTTTATGTTTTTTGTTATAATTCCAGAATATTACTCGTGGGTAATCAAATCTTTTAGACTTCTAGAGCACTTAGGTATACTTTTATTATTATATTTTATGCACACAGACACAATGACATTTTAAAATTCAATTTTTACAATAAAAATGAATTTAATTTACAGCAGTAGTACGATAATAGTAAATTAAATTACACAATAATATCTTATAATCTTATTTAGATTTTAAGCGTTTGAAGTTCAAATTTTTACAACATTAAATACATTCACTTGATTTCTCATTTAACGAATTTCTTGTTTTCTTGTAATTAAAAAACGAATAAACGAGACACTGTAAATTTACTCAAAATGTTTATTGTATAGTTGTCTACGCTTGATAAAATGTTAAAAATATTTTGACTTGGTATGAGCCATAGTATCGTTTAACTGTATTAATAATAACAATATAAATATGTATAGTATGAATATTGAATATCCTAGGCCGAGTAGGCCGACGAAACACTGTCGCCGCTCAGTATCATTTTTCGTATAGGTACATACCTAATATGTTATTATATAATTTTATCATTGAATTAAAATTTAATAACACCGATTACAGTGACCCTATTTAATACTTGTAACTTACTGCACAGTGTACCTGCAGCAGAGCGTCACCCAGTTACCCGCTTTTTTTCTACTTTAACTACGTATACGTATACGCGTTGTTGTAGGTCGCTATTGTTGATCAGTGTCTACTTTTAATCATATTAATATATAATAATTTCTGAAATAATACTTCTACACTAGAAACTAAATGAATAATAGTATACTATGGAGTCTGCAATCAAGGGCATCTGCAGGGGAGGGGGCAACCAAATGCAGTTCCCCCCTTGGCTTTTGTTGGGACAATTGTCATAACCATTATGTAATGTAAAATATCACAAGTTTTTTTTCTTCAATTTTTTGTTTTATAATAGGGCTAGCTGCTGGCTGTCTCTGTTAACAGATATAATAATTAATACTAAACAACTTGAACCGACTAGTGTCTATTACCGATTAATAAGTATATTGGTTATTGGTATCGTATTAAGTTGTTAATAATGAAAACTAACTTTCCATCATTAATTTTGGCTGTTTTCTAGTTCATTTATAACTATAATGATTAGTTTAGTAGTTTAGTCACTATACTTGGCTACACTCATCAATTGATAATTATATTTAACGTTTTTAGACTTAAGTTCTCAAAATATTAAAATAATTTGGTTGTTTTGGCTTTAACATTCATCTATTTATTTCACAGAAGCTTGAAATATTTAATTTTATAAATAACTAAACAATTATTAAGTTAATGGTGACATTTGATTTATAAAAATATTTAAAACAGTTTTTTTTTAAATTTAAACTTGCATTTTAACTAATTAAAATGAATGCTGTAAGATTAATTTTTAAACCATCTACATGTTATACTTCATACATAATTTGTATATTCCCTACTTGAAAGACAACAGGCCACTATTGAACTCTATATGATAACTGAAATGCTCACCAAGCAGAGTTACTCGAGAGAGAATGTTAGAACAAGATGGCACATACTATCTTTGTGTTACTATCTTTGTCTTGCACATGGAGCTAATATCTTATATTAATTTACCGCAATATTCTTTTAGTTTGGTTCTTAAGATTTTGTATCCCTTTATGTTTTTTTGAACTTCCACAAATATTTTTGAATAATTTAATAAAATATAAATAATTAAACAATAAATAAATAGTTTATTAGTAGATAATTATAATTTATGATAATATAACAATTATTGAAACATCCTTTACTTGTGGATAATATTATTCATAACACCA